ACGGACGGACGGACAGACAGACATCCGGATTTCAACTCTGCTCGTCACTCTGATCTCTTTGGTATATATAACCCTATATCTGACTCTTTTAGTTTTAGGACTTACACACAACCGTTATGTGAATAAAACTATAATACTCTCTTTAGCAACTTTGTTGCGAGAGTATAATTACAATGCCTTATCAAGAATGATGGCAAATAAGGCTGTGTGCAATCCAGCCATCGATTGCTAATTGCAAAAGTCACGAGCTCAGTAATACTATAAGCTGCTCCAGTTTGGATACATGACTAGACATAAAAATAAACGCAGTATATAGACTCATAGCAATAAGAGTAACAAGTGCTTTCCGAACTACTACTGTGATCAAATTGAAAGGTGAATTTTGTCCATTTCATCTCCTTCAAAGTAATTCCCGCTGCAATACACTTATGCCAACGAAATTTCATCATAACATTTGGAAAAATTCTTCGTGGCAAAGGTGGACTTGAGCACTGGCAGTATCATTGGGGGTAGAAGCAAAAGTCAAAAGGCAATAAGTTACCGACTACTGCATTGAAATCATTGAGGATTGATCGACCTGGCGTCGGGTGGATGCATGTGCATCATGACATTGCAGTCACTGCATAAGAAATTATCGAGCGATTCTCAAAACTTGGCTCACATCGTTTTGTTTTGTGAAAATTTTCTACTCAATACACGAACTCACTACAGTATTGCAATAAAGTATGTTATTTGCACGTCTACGATTTGTAATGTTTTTTTTCTTTCAATTTATTAGAATTTCATACTAGAAAGTCGATTTGAAATTTTTCCACCATGATATTAAACTACATAAATACTACTATATTTAATATATGAATCTTCTGGATCCTTGATATAGCGCTAGTAGGTTGTAATATATTTATATGAATTAATGTGATTAGGCTCAACTCCCAAATAAGCCATACCCATGTTATATTAATTTTTTTTCTTTAAATTTAATATCTTTTAATACCTTTCAGTATCTTTCTCAAACTTTTCAAATCAAAAGAATAATATCACTGCCATCTTTTTATTGGCTCACTATAATTTATATATACTCCACAGTAATAAAATATAATAACTAATGAGCAAAGTTATATAATTATAAAGAAAACTTGCTTATCTGGAGCCTTTAAAGTTCGTCTCGTTCACAATTTTGCTTTGCCATAACTAATTATGTTGTACTCCATAAAAAAGCGCACAAAAAAGAAGGAGTTGCAGAGAAGTGCAATAAAAACTGTTTAATATGAATTGCGGCATTTATGCTACCCACTCAGCAGTGAAGTTTGCCAACTATAACTAAGGCAAATATTTAATAGCACAACAACTGCTACTTCAGACCCCTTAGAGGAGTCAAGTTTTTCACTGGAAATTAGTGTACTCAACCGACTGCCACAGCTTCATAAGAATTGCACACTCACACATAGACATTTTTACAAACACATCATCAAACACACTCACACACATACACAAACGCAGCCAGCAAGTATTCGCTTTCATTTCTAAGTACTCCAACTTTTTACACGATGATGAGTACTTGTGTGTATGTGTAGGTGTGTGATTTTTTTTTTTTTATATATACTTATATACTTGTCTGCGCATATGCACTTCATTTTACATACACGAAGGAGTACTTGGGCGTGTTTGTGCACAAACAGACAGGCATATCTTCGCACTTTTATTTCACTTTTGCAGTGCAACTCAACTCGTTGTTTTAAGTGCACTTTAATTATTTACAAATGACTCAGTTTCTTAACTCATTCAGTGTCTATTTGGCGAGCACTGTATGATAGACAAGTGCATAGCAAAGCAGAGAGATGCGATATGAGTAGTCATAAGTAAGTCATTTGTATATGTTGTGGCAGCACTTATGTTTATGTGTGCTTGATAACAGTTACACACACAAGCACATATAATAAGTGTGTTTGTGAAGAACTTCATTTTTGTTTAATTTGAGAGTGTTTGTGTGCTTGAGAGGGTAAAAGACCGCATTTCAATTTCAGGAAGTACTTTTATGTAGCAACAA